AACACACAGATGAACCCACACGCTGCCTGTGCAACAGATGCAAAATGCTACAGCAAGGCCTTCCAAGCCTTATTTAGTTCCCTCAACAAAAAATAACTGTTATCATGCAATATTGCTTATTACAGATCATCCGTGCCTATCGGCTGTTCATTTTGGCAAGTTTGAGAACCGCTACATCCCACCGTCCCACGTCATTCTACTGCGCTAAGACATTTGCAAACACTGCACATGTCTGTCCACATACAAACTTCTGAGAGCGTGTGTGGGGTAACAAGCTGGCACGCCGGCCGCACATGTGTCAGTCTGTGTGTGCAGCATGTTTGAAGAGGTATGGAAGCCCACATGTGGAGTTTGGTGCCTGCTGTGGAATGTGTGTGGCATTGGGAAGTGGAGGTTGTGAGTTTGTGTCAGGCATATGGAGAAGCCCTGTATGTGACTTCTTGTCCCCAGGGCTCCGTGTTATACACCAGTGTAAACATCAGTCTGTGGAGAGAAAGTGACAGCGGGGGGGTGCTCTCAAAGGTGCAGCTCAAATCTGCCATCATGCTCACATTGCATGCTCCTCTCGCTGCAATATGAATCCGACAAGCCCTTTTAAGCATGATGGTATACTTAGTTTCCTACTCATTCTTTTGCTGCCGTGTCCATGCCCTGCAGAATGATCTGACACCTCTATCACCAGGGCGATCATTATAAATCCCAAAAAAATTAACTTGTGTTATATGTGACAATGTTATAGTTAAGGTTTGATTAGGTTTAGGGAAATATCATGGTTTTGGTTGCGTTAGGGTTGGGTGGGCCTTTGTTGCCATAGTGACATTAAATAGCAAGTTGTTAAGATTAGGGGACAATAGTGATAATCCTTTAAAAAACTACCAAAAGATTTTTTTTAAAATGATTTTGGAAGTAAATGAGAAATGAACAGCAATGTCCAATGTTCAAGTCTATTGTTTTGTTGACCAGTCCTTCCACCCAACCTCCTCCCTACAGAGACTTTGTTGCTGTATGGCAACGCTAGAGGACTCTGTAATTTGAACGTAAACAGATGTAGTTTCGGGGCACTTTCTGAAGGAACTGATGCCGTTGCTTTTCATGGTGAGGACAGTCTCCACATTTCTGCTGCCGTTGTTCAAATAGCATCTCAAAAGCCCCACCTCCACCTCATGCGGGACTGTTAGTATTAGCACTCCCCACTCCCTTTTGTGCTGAGCTTGGTGCTTCCTTGTGGGGAGTGGAAAGGTCAGAGTCTCTGTACACTGTACAACATTGACATATAATCTATTCCATGTGAGTGAGGCTGACTGAGCTCTGGTTAATTCACTGAACAATTTCATTATTATTTCTTCTAAAACCAAAACAGTGTTTCTGAAAAGCTGTTGATACTTTTTTAATGTTGTGAACTACACCAACATGTATTTGTGATGATTTATTATAGAGGTGATATTTTGGCTTTTTCCCTTTCCTATATTATGTTATATATCTTTTCTGTGCATGTAATAGGTTTGCAAAATGAAAAAGCCACCCCAAAGGGAGTTACCATTTCACACAGAAAACACTCTCTTAAAAAGATCAATTTGTTACAGATTAAAAACTTACCACTCTGAAACTCTAGCTCCCATCCAAAGCAGTGGTTGCCGGCTTGTTAGGACCCGCCCTACTCTGCTAGTAGTCCCTAACTATTTAAAGTGCATGTGCATCTCCCAACAAAGATCTTGTAGAAGTGATATGCTTCACTCCATAGCTAAAACAGAGCACAGAGCTGCAGCAATGTGCAGTATGAAAATTAAACCATGTAAACCTGTTCTGGTACAATCCCTAAATATAAATATTAACCTGAAAATAAGCATAATACAACCACTTTAACTACTCATTTATTTTGAACTGACCTTTTTGTACTTCAAATACCAGTCAAGGGCGGCACGGTGGTCCGGTGAATAGCGCTGTGACCTCACAGCAAGAAGGTCGTGGGTTCAAACCCCGGTTGCCCCGGCCTTTCTGTGTGGAGTTTGCATGTTCTCCCCGTGAGTGTGACTGGTTGTTTGTCTATGTGTGGCCCTGTGATGGATTGGCAACCAGTCCAGTGTGTAGCCCGCCTGATGTCAGCTGTCAGCGACCCTGTATGCAGGATAAGCGGTTGACGATGGATGGATGGAACTACCAGTCAGTGACTTAAGTTTTACTAGGGATCAGGCCGGAATTGCTTGATTGTATGTTGTGTATTTTATGAATAAAGGTATTGGATGTAAAGATACACTATAATTATCTCTATACAGTTGCCGTAATGTGCATGTCATTCTTCAGACATTTATCATGTCGAATGGGCTGAGTTAGCTTCTTCTCAGTTCAAATACAGCAAACTTCAGAGTGCATAAACGACTGGATTTATATTCTTAAACCAAAAAGATCTCAACATAAAAGTTTGTTGAAACTACAAAATATGCATGTTCATGAGCTAACAAACGTTACTAAATGAACCATGTTCTGCTTTCTGCACCATTAAGAGAGGGCTGTTTCTCTCAGTTGAATAAATGTCACAGAAATACATTATTAAACCACTGAGGACAATCAAGCTCAGTGGGAGCAAGAGAAGAATCAGCAAGTATCCAAATGGCCTGTGTGCAGATATGACTCATTATATGGTTCTACAAAATATCCCTCTTGCTAATAAAGATATACTGGGACACTGCATGAGAGAGCATTATGACGAGAGCGAGGGAACGCTTTAGTTACAGCGCTAGTTAAGCAGTTACAGCTCATGAATCATCACTGCCTGCTGGACGTCTGGCTGATTTGCCCGGTCTGCCCTTTGTGTGGCCCTGGCACACTGCGCTGAAGCAGAGCGCTGCAACCTCTGACCTCATCACAACAGACCTCCTGAGGGGCGTTGGCGGCTGGCCACCATGCTAATGAAGCCACTCTTTAGCCACTGTCAAGGAATGCAAAAATCCCCCCAATAACTGCAACTTTAGTGGGCCTTTGTGAAACTGATACCAGTTGGCAGAGATGGCAGCTCTTGACATGTTGTGAAAGGCCTCAAGTGGGCCACACTGAGCTACACACCCTGTGTTTGTGTGTGTGTGTTTGATTCTATCTACAGTGTCCCCTGATGTGTGTGTATAGATGGGAATTTACTGTTAATTTGCCTCTAGTGTCTGTGTGATCGCATTACTGCCGATGTGCATGCATATGAGCTTGTGTGTGACGTGCTTAAGTGGGCTGCACCCCGGGCTGTGTAGGTGGCGACATACTGCGGTCACTATGTCATGCAGCCGGGTCCCAGGGTTGAGCGGGGGTCGGGTAATAACCACACAATGACGTGCTTTATGGGTAATAACGCTGATCGTCCCCGTCCTCTGAGCCCTCTGCCCCGAGACATTTAGGCTCATTGAATGTTAAGTATTGTCACATTCTTGCTGTGTCTGTCCTTTGTGCTGATTGTCTGCCGTCTTCTCGACAGATCGAGAATGTGGACGCCTGCCTCAGTTTCCTGGACGCCAGAGGAGTGAATGTACAAGGGCTCTCAGCAGAAGGTAAGAAGAATAAACAATATGCAATTCAAGGCCTGATTAAACTCTTAATTGAATCAGTGGAGCAGCAGAAGAGGGATCTCCCTGTTGTATTGCTAATCTCTAGACCTGGAAAATTCATTTGGCTCCAGCACAACCCAGGCCTGTGTGGGTAGCTTTTCGTGTCTTCACAGTACCAAATATCTTTAAGAAAAAAAATATATTTCCAAGACATACTATTATATTTCACAGCAATGGAATTTACCATGTTGGTATCATGACGGGGTGTACAGTTTCTCAATCTCAAGCTTTCACTATGGCAGTGAAGGCAGTCATTAGGGCATCAAAGGGGATTGTGGGAGAATAAAAACTCCAGAGAGGGATTTGCCTCCCGACCATCAGGGTATACAGAACATGGCTTATATGACAGCCTTGACTACAGCAGTGCTCTGTACTGAATAACTTCTTGCCAAATTGAATAATCAGCTAAAATTGTCTCACAAGGCCGGGGTTAAAATTGCAGTTAAGTTCCAAACTATGCGTGATGCTTTTATTTTACACTTGATTTTGACTCTGCAGGAGGAACCCAAGATTCCCTCAAAGTTTGTAAATGAATGCCAGTTTTTTTCATGGCATGCAAAGAACATCTGTAAAGTCTTAAGGGAGAAACACATCAGCTGCAGTGCGAAGCATTGCATCAGGTGATGTGTCCCATTTGACACCGTTAGCGCACACACCAGACACTTTTGTAAGTAGTCAAGGTTACTACTTTAGCATGTCACGATCTGGAGGGCAAAATGTTGCTGTCCTGTGAAAAGCTCGTACCTCCAAAATGTTAGCAGCTGTGTCTTTACCGGACAGGTGTCAACTCTGAGAAACAGGGTACTTTGTGGTGTATCTTTATGCTCCCAGTGTGCATGCTTACATAGAACACAACAGGCACAGATATTGACATCACTGGGGTGTCGTTGCCCTTCACTCACTTAGTTCACCATTAAGTTCATCTTCGTCTTGATTTAATAATCAACATGTCAACATACATGTTTTATTAAACTCATTTTATCTGATTGCGTTTTTCTGGAGTCCCATACCAATTCGTTCAAGCAAAGCCTCCATTATTCTAGCAGAACATTTCTGCTGCTGGTTATTAGGACCTGTGCTTGCCCAGGCCCCATTTAGCATCTGCTCCGCTTTTAAGGAGGTGATTGTGCCCTTGACCTCTCAGCAGAAATAGTCTGAAAGCCTGACACACTGACCAACAGCTCTAAATTCAGTGCCCCCCACTACAGCACTAAAAACAGCAAAGTGACTCACAAGGCCTGGAACTTTAAAGTGGGTCTGTAAATATATGGGCTATTGGGTTACTCTGTCTATCACTGTTGCTGCTACATTTCATCACTCCCTTCGCTCAGTGATCATTACCTGTCAACTCATCTACCCCTCGCTGCCTTTGTCTGCCTTATTCTCAAAGATTACTCTGCATGTCCTGTGTATGAATTAGATGGCCATGCCTGTCCTCTCATGTCTAATTGAATCAGCTCAGAGATTTCCAGATTCTGTTGGTTGGCATGTGAAGTCTTTATTATCTTTTTACAATGGGTGGGAATAAAACATTTTTTTTTCCTAACAGAGGCTACTTATTGTAATAACCTCTCTAGAAGTCTCCTTGCATCTTTCTGGTGGGAGGCTGTAAACCAAAGTTCCAGAGAAACTCATTTTGTTGAAGAGAGTTGTGGTTCTCCCTAAGGAAGGTTATACGGCATAATGAAACAAGCCATTTCTTCAACACAAGAAAAGAAAATAATGTTTCACCGGTGGAAAAACAGTGAGCTGCAGCACACCTCCCCTCTCCCTCCCAAACACTAGCTTCCCTCCAGGCAGTCAATGGATATAAAGTTGTTACTGTGATGTAGAGACAGAGCTCAGTTAAAACTTTATGAATGAAAGATACTTTTGTTACAGATTAATAACTCACCACTCTGAAACTCTTGCTCCAGTCTATGTTGCTAAGCTGGTCGGCAACATGTAGCCTACAGCTGAACCAAAGCCGTGTTTACCGGCTTCTCACTGACCCGCCCTTTTCTGCTCTTGATTGGCTAGTAGTCCTTAACTAGGAACTGCGCATGTGCAACTCCCAACAAAGATCATTTAGAGACAAGATGCAATGTGCAGTATGACATGTTTGTTTAAAAAAAAAAATTAACAATGTAAACCTGTTCTGGTACAACCCCTAAATAGATTTGAAAATGAGCACAATACAACCTCTGCATTTAATCCAACAACTATAGAATGGATTGCCATGAAATTTCGTACATACTTTAGGGTCCCAGAGAATTAATTCTAATGACTTTGGTAATCCCCCTGACTCTTCATCTACCACCACCAGCAGGTCAAAGTTTTCAATTATCTATCTCAACATTAACAAGATGGATTGGCACAAAGATTGAACAGACATTCATGGTTTCCAGATGATGAACCCTTATGTTTTTGGTGATGTTTTAACAACTATTGGATGGATTACCACAAAATTTGGCACAGATGTTCATGTTCCCATAAACTTAAGTGCCAATGGCAATGTCAGTCTGTCAATATACAACTTTGGTCAAGACTAATTATAAAATTTTGCACAGACATTCATGTATTCCTGAGGATAAATCCAAATAACTGGTGATACTTTAACCTATAATTTAGTGCCACCATCAGGCCAGATTATTAAATTGTCAATTAATTTGGTTTATTGACCAAATACCTGCTAAAAACTAATGACATTACTGTCAGCCTCAGCTGTACTTTGTGTTAAGTGCTAATTAGTGTATGTTTGCATGCTAACACTCTAAACTAAAATTGTGCAACAATGCTTTTTTCCCCAAGCACCGCTTTGCGCATATTCAGCAGAGCCACAAGTGTGGCTGTAGACTCTTAGTCCTGTTAATGCTCCACCTACTCAGACTCTATTAACCCCTTAGCACAAAAAATAATCAAAACCAACTAACCAAAAAAAGTTTTACTACGAAATGTGATAATTATCTACAGGAAGTTCAGTCTACCGGTACCAGCCTTTAAAAAAAGGTGTAAAGCTCTGAAATATGCATTTCCTGCAGTTGATAATGGGTTACAGTGGGGTCTTCACTACAGGTCGTTAAAGCCTCTTTCCACTGCCGCTGAGACCTTAGCAGAACAGTGTCTGCTTGGTTGTAGTGCTAGCAGGAAACCTACAGTATAACCTCAATACACCACAATAAAGTCCTTCTGCTTGATCTCAGTGGGTGCAATTTTCTTAAAAACAGGGTTGATTTCATTAGTCCACTTATACACTCATTTGTGCTGGGTCAGCGAGGGGTACACACTTGTTCTCTGACCATAAGGCGAGGCCTAGGGTGAGGGAAAGGCTTTAAGTTTAGTGTGTTGCCTATCCTTTCTGGCTGCAAAAAAATGGCAGACTGTGTAATAAATACTGGGCTATAAAATAAAACATAAAAGTGGGACAGTTGTTTGAAAACTTAATTGAGATCTCAGAACTAAATGGATGTCAAGCAAAGGAATTAAAACCAAGCTTACACAATGAAGTCAAGGGCAGCAGTGGAAGCAAAGACACAACCACCTGTGGAGTTGTAAAAAGAGACCCTGGCTTGACATGTTTTTTCAAGGGTTTGTCTGAGGTAAATACAGAATATATAGTCCTTAAATGATCACACAGAATTCTGCTTTGCATTACCCAGCCATGCTAGAATCTCTCCTTCATCTCTTCCAAAGTCCCCTGTGACTCAGGAAATAACTAACCTCTCCAAATAAGAAGAAAAAGATGGAATGAAACCACATCAACCACTTAAAAGGCCTCCAGAAGCAAAGGCATATTCTCATTGAGCATGGGCCAAACAGAAACACTTATCCTCTACACGGCTCTAGAGCAGCAAGAGCCCTCCTGCTTTCAGCGGATGAAAAGGCTGTGTATTGCTTACAAAAATGTCTAGTGGGAGCTTTCCCAGTGTCCTATTAGCTATCATTTACTCCATCACAATGTCTCCCAAAACTCACACTTACTTGAAAAGGGTGCAACAATAAAGAGAGCACAAGGTGGCACCTTGTAAGAGTTTTAAAATACAGTTTCAGCAGACACACTTTGGCCTGATGACACGCTGAGCTGCAGACAATTGATGGTCAAGCTGAAAATATTTAAAGGGCTGATATCTCTCTTCATCATTTTGAAAGAAAAAGCCAGTAAGGTGCTCTTTTGTCTGTGTTGCCAGTAAGAGTGCTTGAAGTTCAAGCTGAAGGTCACTTTATGTAGCACAGTCCCAGAAAGTCCCTTTCATGCATGAATCCTGCAGATGATTATTTTTCAAATATTGTGCAGCAACACCAATATAATTACTTATATATTGGTGTTAAGTATAAGTACTTTGCATTGGCCAACACGTTATGTAGGATGTTTATACATCAACATACTGATTAAGTATTGATACTACATATCTGCAAAGTATTGCAATTTTGCCTTATCACCGAGTCATCTTTTTCAATATTTAACCAAGACCACACTCTTTACCTAATGTAAAACCAGGTGTTTTAGTACCTAACCTCAACCCTCAAAAGACAAAGTCATGCATGGCTAACCATCCACTCTGATTTTGTTACACCAAGGAGCCGAAGTCCAACATCACTTTAACAAACAATATAAATGGTCTACTTCTGAAAGATGGCAACAGAGAACTAGCTAATGGGTCGAGTGATGTTAGAGGAGGTTGCATCATGGTTCAATCCGATTTAAGGCTGGTCTGAACCAATTATCCGCGCAAATATTTCTGAGGTCTGAGGGGTTTGTAGACATAATCTTAATGTTACCTATTGAATCGGAGTCTCCCCGATTTTGAATCGTAAATATCAAATGTGTTTTTATATTTACGATTTGAAATCCTGTTGTGTGAAATTAACTGCGATGGAGAATAGCCAGTGAGAGTGAAGACGAAGAAGACTTAATGAGCTGTCTAGGACATACATAGCACTTCACTTTGAAAGGTCATCCACAACAAACACCTTCAGTATTAGATATTGGACAGAATTGCATATGGTCATATGTTTCATATTTGATCCCTTAGTAAAAATATGAATCATACTATATTTTTCTACTGCTGCTGGAAGCAGATTCTCTGCATTTTAATGCAGTTTCTCAGACTAGATCACATAACAAGACAACAGAAGATAATAAATTATATCACAGCAAAGAAAATGCCAATAATAATGTTTGGACCATCCTCCATCACTGAACCATTGTTAAAGATCTTTCACATACAGGTCATGGCTAGAAATGACATGCTTAGGGGTCCTGGGCAAATCTGAGGTACAAGACCCCTCTTAGCACCCTGTTCCTTTCAGTCTTTCAGTATGTACAGTTTTTCCATGCTAAAATATTACATAGCCCAAGATTTGTTCTGTAGTAATATGATCAAACACGTGAAAGTAGGCAGAAAGCTGAAATCATGAAGGTTTTATGAGTACATTTTTAACAAGACCAAACCTTGCTGCAAACCTACACCATCAAGACATTTCCTTGAGTAAGACATACTGAAATTATCTGTTCTATAGCCAACCCTGACCTGCAGGGCAACTTCCCTGTTGAGATGGGGGCAGATTTATTCTTTCTCATGTCATCATCATCATTTCTATTACCTTTACAGTTGCCAAAAGTTTCAGTCTGCAGCGGCTCTTTGGTCGGCTGAATCTGCAACATTGTCTCTCCCTAAAGCACAGAAAAGGCTGCTGTTCAGACTCTCTCTAAGGCCCAGTATAAATTAGCGCCTCTGGGTGTTTGAAAATGGAAAACAACCCCAAGAGATTAATCTTCTCCAACGTTCACTGTCTACAAACAGCATAGCCATGGATGGCTGGGGAGAATGTTTGAGCCTCGCCAGATTGATAAATCGAGTGAAAGGCCCTGCGTCAGCTGTTACTATCCTCCCCATGCCTCTGTGTGCCAGCTCTCACTGAGGGTATGATATGAAAAGTCCATTTCACAAATGGGTGCGTTAGCCACAGTGATCAATTCTTCCTCCTCCTGTGACTGCTGAATCCCATCTCGACTGTATGTGTAGGAGTCTGTGAGAGATGCATTTGTATGAGTTTTGTCCAAGATGAACTCAGGAACTGTTGAGGATAAGATTTACACTCCAGACAAAGTTGCTCATTGATTAGGAGCTTCCTTGCTGTTGCCAGCTCAGCATACCAAATAAGCAACTTCATCTGCAGGGCTGCAGTCTCTTATAGACTGCACCCCTGAGATCTTATACCTAAAACAGGAATATAATCTCTTTGATGGGTCACTTCTGCCATCAGCCCACCGCTGTACACTGCACCTGTAAATACAGTGTTTAATCAGTTCCTCACTTCATGGCAAAAGAAGAACTGTAATTAAAGTAGTCTATTTTTGGCTGTTTGGCCTCAGACTTGCCCTCACACCAGACTTCTGCCAGTTAAACACCAGTCCAGAAGGTCCCATGCTGAGCTATGCTCCTAAATGAACCAGCTGTGTGTTAGCTCATGTATGTGAGCAGATAGTTTAGTCTGGATCTATGACAACTGGTTTGTCTTGGGAGCAATGGCCTAAATTATCTGTATATGCTATATCTGTGCATATTATACACAGTATAAATATCTACTCCCGTTAAAGCCAAAACAGCTGCACCTGAGCTCTATCCCCAAGTGGCTTTTTTTTAAAGTCAACTACAGTATGTTCACTTTACAGTGTTTGAAAGATACAATAAGTGGTCTGGAAACACATGAAAAACAAAAGTCCTTTGAAAAACAAAAAGGACTTTATTCCAAGAAAATATGTTTGTATGCATAGCAGGGTAAAGCTGGATATCACTCTGTACAGTATTAAAACATGGATGCTGGATGATTTCACATCATGTTGGAGTAGCACTCTTAAGTACCACAGCACAAAGTAGATGCTCAAATTGTCCTTATTTTTTGTCACTTTCAGAGATCAGGAATGGCAACCTAAAGAGCATCCTGGGTCTCTTCTTCATCCTGTCACGTTACAAGCAGCAGCAGCAGCAACAGCAGCAGTACTACCAATCCCTGGTGGAGCTCAGCCAGCAGACCAGCAGCCCCGTACCGTCCTCCAGCAGCCTCAAGACACAAGAGATGCAGTCCAGGTATGTTACACTCCAGATAGTTGTATTCCAGTAGTTTGGTGTTGGTTCATGTCTCATTTGGGGCAGAGGTAGCCTAGAGGTCACAGAGGCAAGCTAATGTCACTGTTTTGAATTAGTGGGCCAATTATTTTTTAGGATCCATGTTGGAATAGAGGCCAAGTGATTTATTGTTTTTGGATGCTTAATTAGGTCCAGTTAGAGCTTTTGTAAACAGGAATTCGATGGATATGACCGCCTCTCAGTGGTGTTGAAAATGAATAACAGCCTCCATGGAAAATGTTTCTCATTAGAGATTTTGCTGCATCAGCTCCATTAAGGACGTTTTGACAGGGAAGAGTCAAGCTGGCTGACAGCAGAGGAGAGCAGTTACATTAGATTTGTGTTTTTAATGCGGTCCTAGCCTCAGGCTGTATGGAAATTATGCTTAGCTTAGCTTAGCTTAATGTAAACACTGCAAGCAGGGGGAAACAACTAGCCTGGCTCTGTCTGAAGGTGACAAAATCCACACACCAGCACCTTTGAAGCTTTAAGTGATGAAGATAAACAACGTTGCACAACCCCCCCACTCCCCTGTACAATGGCTAATTATCGTTTTTTATGCTTTTATTTCAGATTAAACAAGCATGATATAACATATCCATTTAAGAGCATTGAAGTCACTGGTTGGTGGATTTTGTTACCTTTGGACAGAGCAGGGCTAGCTGACTCCCCCTTTACCAGTCTTTGATGCTCACTGGATGCATACTGCGAAAAGGCCTCTGCACTTACGTGTTTTTGGGCACATACAACACGCTCATGAGTCCTTCTCCAACTGAGACGGTTGAGCACATGCATTTCCAAAACTTCAGCTGGTCGAGCTAGCTGACTTCCGGTTGGCTCCCTGCACACATGAACGGGATAAACTAATTTAATCATGGGACATTCCAAATGTTATTGGACCAAATGGATCTGATAATGAAAAGAGGTGTGTCCTTTTCCAATAATTTTTTATAGCAAAAATGCTTTTGTGGGCCAGTATGCATGCATCAATGCGGAAGTTGCATACACTGTCCGCTAGGCCAAAATGTCATCACAGCCTCGCTCTGTTCCTTGGGGCTTGGTGTGAAGTCTGATAAATTGACTCAAGTGATGTCACTTGAGTCAACGTCTCTTGGTTCTGTAGACTACAAGTTTGAAAATGATAAAAATCTGGGGCCCTGGAGTTAAAAAGAAGAGAGCTTATCAGGCCTCTGTAGTCTGCTCCTCATCTCTGCTTGAGGCTAGCAGCTCACGGCTACACTAGCCACTACTAGCATAGCACACACAAATCTCCAACCTTGGTCAAGTTGCACTGTGGGTAGGTGCCAGGTTTTGACAAAGAAGAAGAATGTATCGATAATAAAAGATGATATCTTATCCTGCTGCATACATTTTTATCCTTTTTTTTCTACTGTCTAAAAGTACTACAGTGTTATCAGAGCGCAATGCTAAATCAGTGTAGAACTTGTTTAAGAACTAAGGTAAGGTTGTCCTTAGTTTAGTAGCTGTAGGTGGATCAATATGAAAATATTGATATCAAATATGAAGATGTTATTTATGAGGTACTTATATGAAGAAATACATTGTACAGTAGATGTGTTGGCAGCTAAGCAGTAAAAGCAAAGGAGGTCCCTGTGCGATGTAAATAGACAGAGCAGGCCTTAGAAGAGCATCTAAAGGAAGGCCTGACATGCCACACATGAGCAGCATTCCCCTTGACCAGATCAAGTTACAGCATGGCCGCTCTGTTTGGCAGCACTATGTCTGCGTGTGTGTGTGTGTGTGTGTGTGTGTGTGTGTGAGTGTAAGTAGTGGCAGTGTATGTGCATAAAATCAGTGCAATAAGAGCAGTCAGTCTCAGCACTTGAGGAGAGGGCATGTGAGTAAGATGATATTGTCGAGCGCTTTAGCCTCACTCTGTATGGATAAGTTAGGAGTTGGTAGCAATGGGGTCACAGTATCGTGTGTGCGTGTGTGTGTGTGTGTGTGTGTGTGTGTGTGTGTGTGCATGTGGGGTTATTAGGGGCACAGCTGCCTCCCATTCCCACACTGCTGCCTCCCCCCAACAACAGGTGGAGAACGCTCTCATACACATACACACAGAACAGTGAAGTTAACACGGCTGCATCAGTGCAGCCTGGCAGGCATGCCAAACCAAATACACACACACACGTACTGATAAAGTCATTACAGAAGTTTCACTTTTCACCATCATACAATACAAAGAAGTGTCAACAAGTTGGTTGGAGAGATAATTGAGGTATTATTTGATGAGATGTTTGAGGTTTCTCCACCAATAAGGAGAACATATAAACGTATGAAGGAAGGTCTTTTTTAAAGATTGTCTCTGTGAAGTAGCTCACTTAATTTCCAAATAGACCCTCTTCCCTTGCTGTCCACAGCCCCAGTAATGGCTCACTCCCCTGGGCTAATAAGTTAATCATGTCTGAATGCTGGGGCCACAGTGGAGGTCAGAGGACCAGTCCATGTCCGTCAGTGATAAAGTAAGCCATTAATCTGAGAGTTTTTGGGGTTGTCTGGGCTATTCAACCTCTCTCTGTGGCTCAAGGAAGTCTGGAACGGTTTGGAGAGTTCATTTGATCTTGTCCAATGAAAGAGAAATCAGGGAAAGGATTAAAAAATGTTGCTTGTATATTATCACACATATTGTATGAAGAGCGATCCGGAGGTATAGGTATAAGTTATTTGGCCCAGTTGACAATGACAAGCCACTGTCAACATAAATCACTTAAGTTGGGGGTTTATACTGCAGAATAGAGCCAGACGATCATGATTATCTGCCACTACATGTACCAAATTCCACAGAGTTCCAAACAACATCCACTTGTTTTTTAATGTTTTAATGGGAAGCTCTTATAATGCAGCCCTACGGCAGTGCTTTTGAAATATGTAAAGGAAGAAATTTGAATTTTTCTGATTCTGAATTGCTTTAACCTCTTAAGTGCAACTGACTCACTGGTAGGTCACTCATTACAAACTTGTGCTGTACCGTCAAACATTATTTAAACCCACAGAACTGTGTTTTGAAATCTTGCGGAGGTCTTCCAAAGAAGATCAAATGTCAGGTTGATTATAGGCAAGTGTGCGTAAAATGATGCACAATAGCTTACATCTATAATATTTCAATTTTTGTCTTTGTAAAGATTATATAGCTTTTACAAGAGCTGAAGTCAGCTGAGTCACCTGGACTTGGCAGATTTGAGTTTATTTGAGGGCTTCTCTGTTTGTAGCTTGGAACCACTGCACAAACCGCCGACGCTCTGATGTTTAAGTTTGCTTTCTCTGCACTTTTCATATTGTACCATCTAAACTTTAAATTATATTAAAGATTTGTGTAATTTTTGTCTGAGGCTTCATGCCTGGCTGGCGTGCAGCCTCCCTTTCCTTTTCACCCATCTTTGGAAACACTGAAATGTAATTAAATGTACTCATAAAAACTCTCTTCTAATTCTAATTTAACACAGTGATGAATTTCTGTAAGCTCTAGCCGACCCTGAAGATTTAGCATGTCTGAGTAACTTCATAAAATATAAGATAAGAAGAATGGCTGTTTTAAATTAAAAATGTTAAGCCTTCTAAATTATCAAATTATCTGTCTCACAGATTTACACGGACAGAGACACACGCGCGCTGACACATTTGGCCTACTGCACATCTACAGTTGTAGTATGGTGAGCTTTCTATAGACAGCACCTGCTGGTCTGACTGGTGTCTCTGGGGCAGGGGATGGGATGTGTGTGACTGTGTGCGACTGTGTGCGACTGTGTTCGACTGTGTTTGTGTGTGTCCGAGGGGAAGTCCCCATTGGACAGATAGCGACAGCCCGGAGCCACGGGAGGTTTTCAGTGCTCTAGAAGGCAGGGGGGCCCGGGCCTGGCAGGGCACAGCAAACCCTCCCTCTTGAACTCACCATGTCCCGGGGCGAACAGGTTGACCCCCTGGTTTGGCGCTCTTCACGCCTGCCTACCGCCGTGTCTCGCGACAGAAAGAGCCGTTTGCCATATGGTAGAGCCAACATTCTGGCCAAGCCCGACTCGTCTCCTAGGTACAGTTTTAGTGTGCGGTGTGTGTGTGTGTGGAAACATCAAGGCAACAGAGTTTGGATCTTTCTGAAAAACACATGGTGGTATGAGGAGGATGGATTAGTGTCGGTGGCATCATGAACTGGTAAATGGTTTGGTTCCTCTTGTCCTGCTTGTTACTCTGAAGTGTCATACATCATGGATTTGTGTTTAGCTTTTTATTATAGGTTTTTAATACATACTGTAGATTAGGATACGAATCATTTCTTGATGTTCATCATGGGATGCTGTCGGTGAGAAGTTTCAGTTGAAGTCATTAATTAGACTCGCAAACAGCTTGTTTGATAAGTGGAGTCCTACGCAATAAAAGCCCAGTTTATACCGCATGTATGCTCCATCACTAAGGGGAAGTGGAACACATTTAACCTATTTTTATTTCTAGTTTGGTAACTATCTTAATTTTAGAAATGGGTATGTATAGCAGTATTACATTTTTACTGTGTACAGAATCCAGAAAATACTACCATGAATAACTAACTTTTGAAGCCACTGATGAATTATCCAATAGGTGTGCCAGATCCCAAAACTCTCATATGGGTTGTGTTAAAAGGCAAGGACAAGTTACCTATTTTGGTGCATTTTATGCCTTTATCAGATAGTCAGTAGCTTGGGAATGAAAGGAACGACATGAAAGTTCCCAAGCTGGACTTAAGGCACCAGTATGCTTCATTGAAAGTGCTTGTTTGATAGTCAACAGCTTCAGAAACTTCCTCCATGGGGAACTTTTTGATGTCATTCTTTTCTAGTATAACCTGGACCTTAAACTAGGGATGTTTTGATCCATTGTTACCACGCAACAGGTAGCCTACAGTAGTTATTGAGCTGACTGTGTCACATGCTCAAATGGCCATGTGACATCATGTGTGTGTGTGTGTGCGTCCAAGCACCAATGCTAGAAGTAGCGTCCCAACACGGAGTGCTGATTGGGCTCTGAAAGGGCAATGTTGGACAGATCCCCCCCTAGACACAAAGGTTGAGTGAAACCACATTACCTGCTGTCATCACGCTGACCTCGGTGCCTGAGCGCCCGCCATTTTTATTCTATAACCCATCAGTTTGCGACTGCCCACAGCGCTGGTGCTACAATCAAGCTGAAACTGATATTACTCGCATTTAAGGACAGAGATGTCATCCAATCTTGTTGATCCATGTTGTTTGCGATCAGAAGTGACAGACTGTAACACCCCTCTCCTTCTCATTTTCACCACCACCACCTCATCTCCTTTCCACAGGCGTAGATCCTACCCTCCTGTGTTCTGTTGTCTTTTTTCCACATTGGAAAGATATTAAATGTTGTGGGTTGGATAAGCACTCCAGGCTGGGGACTCTACCGTTGCCTTCAAGTTTGATTACATTTTGTAAAATTGGAGATGAGGGGGAGGGGGTCATGATTGGTCTTGTGGTGGAAAAATGTGCACCACAGAACCCCATGATTTTTGTTTTACTGTCATATACAACTGTGGGCTGCTCCTACATGAGCTGCACTTAACATTACCTTCTCTCAGGCTTCTGTGGCCTTTAAAGATAACCCTTGTTCCTCCTTGCTAACAGCCTTGCACTGCACTCCCACTCTGAAAATGGACAGAAATAGAGAAAAGACAGATAGAAAGCAAAAGGACAAAAGCTATACTTTAATGTGATGCACAAATTTAAGCTTGACCCTTTTTTCCATTGAAAAGCTGAAAAAGCATTTAGAATGTGACAGGGCTCCATTAATTTCTCTCTATGCTTGTCTTTCCTGTGTTGTAAGTGCCATTTAGGGTATTTAACAGAGCACAAAACATACTACAGGGAGATGAAATGTGGTGTTGGGTGTGTGTGTGTGTGTGTGTGTGTGTGTGAGGGGGGGGATTCAGTTGCCAGGCATCATTAACCAACATGTCATGTATCATATAGTTCAGTAATAACATGATACGAAGGTGCTCACCACTGTAATGGGAAACTGCCCTGAACTTGTTTCCCCTGTGTTCTGCTGTCTGCTCCGAAGCTCGTTAGCATAACGCCTCATCATGAAAACCTGCAAGGTCAATTAGAAAGGTACAGTGACTCTGCATTTCATCGCAGGTGGTTTAAAAGTGAATCAAATTGTCCAGAGGGAGAGATGTGAATAGAGAAAGGGTGTGTGTGTGTGTGTGTACAGGTGCATCTTCAGTATGTGAGAGAGGCATGGCGGGAAATGTCATTGTGTGCGTTTAGAAAGAATGGGAGCCACACTTTCTTAGCGAGTTAGACAGCTAATTAAAATTTTACTCACCACCTTAAAAGATCCTTGTCGTTCACAGTTCGACCTCTCTGAACAAAGCATTAAATACCACCCTGCCGTTCTGTCACAGCTGGTTTGATTCTACAGAATGATGAAATGCACTCAAGAGATTCATTGAAAATCACCTCAGCAAGGTCTGAAGCTTCTGTACCAGTTCTCCTTTTATTGTACTTATCCATAATCCATGATGCATGAGTGAGAGGCTGCCAAAATATTCATCAGCAGTCATGGCCAGAACTTGCACTGAAGCCTATACCACATAATTAACATAATAACTGTTCTATGGTATATCTGACGTGTAATTTCTTAAATACAATAATTTATTTTATCTAATTTCTCCCTGAGATAATTTTCTACTCAAGGCAATATTATGGGTTACTTTTATTGTTGCTCTAGTAATCTTTTTTATTAACTTGCGGTCACAGTGTCAGCTAAATGCGTGAAATGCTGAGAAGTAAAAGTCTCATTTCAAAACTGTTGGCATTTGTTTATATTCATGCACGGTTGAGAACTGCACACTAAAAGCAGGCAGAACAGAAAATGAGATGTGTTGACGGCTGTGCGTCATTCAGCCACCCAGTATAGGTAGTTTATTGTCTCTGTCCACTTTCACTCACCAATGCCAAACCAGCAGCCCACAATCACCAAACAGAGAACAAGTTGTTCCTCGTTGTCAAAAAAGAAGGACGTCTAAACAGACTGCTCATGCTTGTTGCTTCCTCTGTCCTCCAGCTGAAGCACAGCTCACTTGCTCTGGTCATTGTAGAGGACCGTTTTCAGACTGTTTTACAGTTGAACTACTGCGGCTCTGTGGCTCCCTCCTCAAAAGGAACTGATTGGAAAACCCAAGTTTCTATCGCTGCTCAGCCTGTGGAAGGTATGAATGAAAATCTGCAATTAACTGGAATGCAATTAGCTTTTTCCTATAAACTGATTTATTCGTATAACCACTTAAACTACGTGAAGGGTAAAGTCACAGTAGCTGCCAGGATGTCTAATGTATGTAATTTAATGCTCTATTACGCTATGTGGGAAGTAGAGGCAGCATTTTGTTTTGGATTGGTTCTTTAGATAATAACGTGACTTATGTCAGGCTACTGTGAACAGTGTATTTCATCCTCCTGGTGAGTTCACAGCATCCACTTTACGGTGTTTATTACAACCAAATCCCTGTGGTCATTTTCTTAATATTTTTTCAAAAATAAGTTGCTTTATGTTTTTTTTTTCTATTCAACTTTTAAATTCTCTAAAGCTAATAATGTTAGCGCCCATTAGCTCAGCCTGCCACAGCACTGCCTGCGATATACTTGAATTATATTTTCAACACCTGTCTTTTTTTGTGTTAGTTTTCTTTGCTGAAAGACTGGGAAAGTGTCAGGAAAGGAACATTATGCTATCTGAGAGTTATCTTGAATGTCCATTAAGAACATTTCTTTCCCCTGTGGCAGAAGTTAAAATGACACTGTTGCTCTGAGTGGGTTTTCACTTGCTTAAATAGCAATAAGGCCAGCCACAAACAATATATCTCCAGGCATTTAGAGCTACTAGTTAAAAGAGAAGATATGTCTGGTTGATAACTTTCAATAGATGCTCTGTTCATTCCGTTTATGACAACAAGTGAGAAATGCTCACATGGTTTGCGAGTCATAGAGTTCACACAGGAAGTGACACTCACAAGATTTACATGCAGGAATAAACAGCCCAGCCACCTGGCCTTCGCCATTTCATTGTTTACAGGGTGTACGTATGATGATTAAAGGCAGCTCTTTGTTCATAAAGCGCTCTACAAGTAGCTTAACTACTTCCTGCCAAACATGAATGGAGAAGCCTGCCCGCGTTAATTCCGTCTCTGTGAATGACTAACAGTGAGTGTTGGGTTATAAACTGTGACTGGTGCTGTGGGCATTTCCTTCGCCTCTGCCTCATGTGTTGTTGGGTTTTGGAGGTTTTCTTCAAACGATGCCACCACGAAAGTGATTGTGAAAGTTTTTGCGGGCCCTTTTATGTCAGCGGCCCTATAAATGGATTGAGAGATGTTATTGGCTGAGTCATACGCGTGTGGTAATAAACATGTGCGAGCCATCATGTAAGAAATCAAAAAAATGTGCACTGGCATGCGACAGTAAGTACTATGCGCTTCTTCTCTTCTCTCCCTGGTTATCTCTTCTTCTTTCTCTGTGCTTCTATCTGAATGACTCCTCTCACTCACATTATTACATTAAGCTGTGGATTAAGAAAAGTCCAGCAAGACACTGATTTCATTCCTCTTCTGTGTAACTGTGTAACAGTCTGTCCGTCATCTTTTCTGCTCTCTCATCAGTCTCACAGCACGATATGCAAGTCCTCCAGGCCACAGTGGAATAGGGTCACCACAGAAGAAAAACACAAGGTAAATATGGCAAATACTTCATGTACCTCCTCTATTTGATTGGTTGATGTTGTTATATATTCTGAGCATTCACTTTTTAAGTGTATTTCTGGACCCTGTGCCTTCATATGTCCATTTAGCTTCATGTTTTCATGTTTTTGTGATACTCTGTTACCACCACAGTGAGGTCAAAGGTCTGGGTGAACCAGGGAGCAGCTGGTAGGGATTCTTGTTTTGGTCAAAGATACTTCAGCAGGGTGTAGATGTGTGCCTCACAGTGAAAAGACTCTCTTCTGCTAAATATTCATTATCATGTTCCCCATTACCTTTGCACAGGCATTTCAGCCTAATTAAACATGCCCTTTCAGTTCTGAACACCTACAGTGTGATGGAATTTTTTTATTATTTTTATTTTCACTTTTTTACTTCACGGAGTGGTTCTTCTCATTAACGTCAAGGCTAGTGCAATCAAATAGGCACACACATAATTTTAAAGGTGCTTGTACATAATTTGCCTCAAAGCCAGTCCACCTGAGTATTGCACAAGTAAGCAAATGAGTGTTCGGTTAATATTTAGAATAAATATGTCGAAATGTCTAATTTGAAGTGAATCACACCAAAACTAGGACTAACTTTGATCAACATTTTGCAAATGTTAAAAAAAAAAAAATCCTGCAGAGACTCAAGAGAATAATATTTCGCAGTCATGCCAACATGATTTGACTGACCAGTGACCATTGGAGAGTTCAGTGCATAAACACATCAGTGAGTTCTTTCCCCCGAAAAGATTGCTAGAATCACAAAAAAAAGGAAATTGAGGATCACTGTAAAGTTTTCACACAACTTGTTTACTTGCACTTAAAGTCTGTTAATCTCTGTCCTCAATCTAACTCTTTTTACTTGAAAGGTGCTGTTATGTGTGATGTGTTCTTTGGGAATAGCCCTTTTACAAATCTTGGCAAAGAAGCTGCTACTAAATAAGCTACCAGACTGTTTAATGCCAAGTTCTAGACTGTATCTAGCAGTCAGGGCACCACAGGCTTCACCTGTGCCTGAACACACACATGCACGTAGGGCCACTCACTTTCCTACCATCCCATAAACATAAGCATTTAGTCACTCCTACGTGGTACCGTATGGGGTTGTGCACTAGCACAGTTACACACACCTACCATACTCATTTCATGTGCTCGTATAACAAGAGATCCAGTTATGTACATTTGAGACATTCACCCACAAATCTACCCACACATACTGTACATAGACACCCCAGAGTCCAGTTGTCTGATGCCTGAAGCATTTGTTCCAGCTCAGAGGCAGTGGGAACTGGCGTGTTGGCAAATAATTCCTCTTCAGCCGCCACTGAGCAATGGCAAAAATGCTGCAGGCAGCAGCTTCAGCTCTATGGGTGGTAATCTGCCCTCTCACATCCCTGACAACAAACCTCACTGCTGCTGCTTTGCAGAAATAGTCCTTTAATTCCTACATACATATGATGATCCACACACAGTACAAACAAGAAACTTGTTTTGGAGGTCAGTGAGCAGTGACAGTGTAACCACTCCTCTGTTGCCATCTGATTTGCATTCATAAGAGGCTGGTTATTGTTTTATTTATTATTGTATTTAATTGCTTTCTTGCCATCTGAGAAGTTATTTTAATCATCCATGAATTGTCTCCTCTCCTACCCCGAAGCGAGCATGTTTTAGCAGCTCTAAAATGGGAAAACAATTGATGTCTCACAGACTGCACTTTCATGTGATGACAAGAGTTTTGGTGTTTTTTATGCTCTTTATGAGACATTCTGCCTGTTAGCCAAAGCTAAAGGAACTATCCTCTAACAGGAACATCTTCACTTTTCACTTGCAGTCACTGATAAAGATTGTTCTTCCATTGTTGAAACATGTCCAATGTGTCTGGTTAGACTCATACTGCCTAGTTGGGGGGTGCATTCTTTGATGTTATGAATGTTCTTTGGTGTTCATACCAGTTAAGTGTGCATTAAAACGCTACATATGAGCTTAGGTCCAAGACAAGAGGCTGCCCTTGTTTTATTTGTTATGCTTAGCTTTCCAAGGATGAGTAATTGATGATTATTGGTAGGGCTGACCCCAAATAGTCGAAGATTTGATGCTTCGCTGGGCGGAGCCTGATTCGACTGTCAATGTCACAGTCGAAGCTTCGTAGCGAAACAAGGATCATGCCATTTTGGCGATATGGAGATGCTCAACGTCTGATTTTACATAGAATCAGAATCAGAAGGAGAAGGATCTTTATTGCCAAGTAGTGTTTTACACATACGAGGAATTTGCTGTGGTGATAAGGTGCTACACGGAGACAAACATTCAGTCAATATAAATAAATGTAGAAATATATAAATATGGAGCTACCAGTTTTCTCCCAATAAGTTAATATACAGCCAATTATAATATACATGTCAATGTTTAATGCTGTAAATTAACATGTAAAAAGAATAAAGCTTTCAATAAATATTTTTAAAGTGCGTGAATAAATCCTAAATTGTAACCCTAACCCTGGGTCGTCAGTGCGCATGTGTAGCCGTAGCGTGTATGTAGTGGCAGTGGAGCAACGGAGCCCCAGCTTCACTGGTGTTGTGCCAAGTTGTCCACACCTCGCGGGACTTTCGGATAATTGATCACCGTTGATGAGCCAAACAAAGAATATTACATCGTTTTTAAACAGCCGGCTACTTGAAATAGACCCACAAGGAACCGCGACGTTGCATGCAGTTGTCGGCAGCATGGAATGCACGCTAAACTCTGCACAAGACCGGTGTATGGCAGGCGAGAGAGAGAGAGAGAGAGAGAAAAGGGTCTTCAAAAAGCCTCAGTTTAGCTGAAAATTTACCGTGTTGAAAGTTGAATAAGTAGACACTGCAGCTCTGCAGCAAGATTAAAGCAAAGCAACCGTGGGTAACCCCCCTCCCAGCACAAAAACACACATGATTTGACTATCAGTCGACTATACTACTACTGATTCGACCATGTAAATCCTTAGTCGGGGACAGCCCTAACTGAGTGCCATAATAGAGCTTCTCGTGCATTTCCACACTTCTCACAATAGGTTGCTTCCAGACTCTCAACACTAACACAAGTTTACAAATCAATGGCTGCTGGGAACAGTAGAAGATATACATTTAAATTTCTAAAACTGGTGTTCACATGGTTTGGAAAACATGTTTGTTTATTATTCTAAATGGTATGAAGTACTGGTATGGCCCTTAAAGTTCATCATCTTTGCAGCAGGTGGTGATGTTTGACTGCCTGTTGGCCACCTGTTAGCTTGTGGTATCTTTCTACCATTTTAATGAGCCTGATGTGGCTTTGGCTTTGCCCTGGAGGTAGTGTGAATTCCAGACTGGCTGGACCAGATTTTCTGTAGAAGTTGGCATAATATCGGAAAGGAGCTGGTTGGAATCCCCAGACTCACTGGGAAGAACTTGGCAGGGGAAATGAACAGGATAGCCGGTGTTTGTCCCTCTCTTCTTCACCTCACCATCAGGCTTGAGATCCTTTCTGTGTCAGATACGCTTCGCCAAGTCTGGCCTAAAACTAAATCATTGTCCAGAATTTACATCACATTTCCCTCTTGCAGTTCCATTTTGCTGATGTATTATCAAACATGTATTTTGGAAGATGAAAGAATCTGATGATAAAAGGGACTACCTCTGATTTCCATCTGAATTGCCTCAATCTCACCCTCATTTTCCCACTGTTTATCTCTCATTTTCTCTTGTCTGTATTTTCAGCTACAGTATTTTTTTCTCTGTTTCTCTTCTTATCTGCATCTATTTCCTCATTCACTCCCATTCTCTCAAGTCTTTTCCTTTTTATTTCTTTTTCTTTTAATTGTTTGGTCTCTTATTCTCCTCTGTTCTTTCCCTTGTTGATTGTACCAGTGGGAGTGTCCCTACGGCTACTGTAGCTGTGCACGTGCATGCATGTGTGTTTAAGGGTCATTGAGGTGCTTTTAGTTCTGTTTTGTTGTGAGGTATTTCATTTGAACACCAAAATTTTAAGTGAATCACACCAAAACTAGGACTAGCTCTTTTTTCCACCCTTTCATTTCCATGCTCTCTTTCTCTTTCTCTTTCTCTCTCTCTTGCTCTCGCTCTCTGTCTTGTGTGGTTGCTACTGTACTAGTGCCTCAGTTTCAGCCCAGTGAGGAGCAGCCTCCTCTCTAGGCTCAGGACCACCTCTGGCAGCAGCTCAGTGCGATCACTCAGGCAGAGCACCAAGTCTCTGCTCTCAGACCTGGATCTGCATCTCTAAACAGTCCGAAGTGTGCTGGTGACGTCACTGTAGATGTACAGCTGTTTTAGGATCTAAGAAATGGAAAGGAGGGTGTAGACACTGGCACATTTACTGCTACTTCTAGATGTCAGTTTTTTTGCACTTGAGCACATTTTGTTGTTGCACAATTGTCTGTATAAAACATAGTTTGCATGGTTCAGCACATGGACTGACTCATTAGGCAGTTTTGCTTTGACTACATGCCGTGCAGGTTGCTTAATCGCTGAGCCGTGCTCTATTTTTCAAGGGAGACACACAAAGTAAACTTCAACTTTTTTTGCAATAATCTACAGTATCTTTCAAGTCCCTCTTCTGTAATAGTAGAAGCTACTAGATGCTTTCTGTGTTTCTTGTTGCATCAGAAAAATGCAGCGGATGGTTAGTCTGATAAGCCCTGCAGCTTGAAGCATAATTGTCTTCACTAATATCAGTTGGTGGAGCTGCCTTCCTCTGCAAATGCTGTCCTACAGCAGCTATGTTAAAAGATGAACTGGGAGCATTACCATGGCCAAGTGATAATTGTGTTTTATCCAGTTTTGTGTGGTATGTGAAAACAGTGCTATTTCCTGTATCAATCTGAACCAAGTCATTATCAGAAACACTTTCTGGAAAGGATACTGTAAGCTGAGATGTGGATTGTGCAAAACAGTATCTCTCTGGACTCTCAGTTCTTGTTTTTTATTTGGACTCGTTTTGCTATAAAATAGATTCCAGATCCAGTGATGAGTGCAAAGCCAAAAGGCAGGCATTCCTGACCTACATCTTAAAGTGTAAAAAAGACAATCCAGGGAGATAAAAGACCCAAGTGTTGCTCCTTTCCCATATATTATCACTATTGATTTGGTCATTTAGTGCGACAGTATAAAGTTGACCTGATTTGTTCTCATGGTAAGTGCTATAGTGTAGAAGTAAAGCAGGACACACGTACGTAAGTTCATCCTAGCTATTTCTGTTTACCCAAGGAATAATACAGCACTGCAGGCAGTGTAGGGAGATCTCTATCTTAATAATATAAGGCTTTTTGTCCATGCTATGTGTCAATTGGTCCTTCTATTTGTTTAGATGTATTAAATAAAGGCCTTAAAAAAAAAAAAAAAAGGAATATGTTTTTTTCCACTGGGGTTTTTGACCACGTCAGGATTCCACCCTTTAAAAAAAACCACTCCTCTCCGACATCTCGGCTCCATCTGCGATACAGACGCCGAGTGACATATTCAGCGTAGAGAATCGATTATCTTTGTTAAAGGACATCGCGACAGTTTTCAGGCACGGAGACAGAAAGACACCAAGTTGTTAGAATTCAGGGTTTTTTCTTTCCCACTTATTTTTGACAAATGCCAGGCTATGAATGGAGACTGGATACAGGATAGTCACAGCGTGTAAACTAGCAGTCTAAAGAGTTTGTTTGGGAGAAAAAGAGACGAGATCGTAATGTAAAATGTGATCTTTGGAATCAGATTATAAAAATCAAGTTGTCGTAAATCTCATCATGATCCTTGAAGCAGTTGCAGAGTCTGTTTTTGAAATAACTTACCAATAAACAGATGGGTGAAAGCATCTGGCAAAGTGCATAAAAAATGCAATGTAAAGTTATTGTACAATAACAACAGGTTTTTGATGAGATGATTCTTTTAGCGCCCTCATGGGAGCCGTGAAAATCCTCCAGCTGCAGCATGGCAAATCAACATTTGACACCGGCAGCTTTGACTCTGTCGAGAGAAAAAGATTATGCAAAAGTGTGTTTGTGGATGTCAGACAGTAGAGAGACTGACTGAAAACACAAACCTCCCTGGTAGGTATATGTAAGCTTTATACAGTGTCAGTAGAGGTAAAGAAATGCCTTCTGACTGTATGTAGGAGCATGAGAGGGAGGGAGGACACAAATAAAGAGCCATTATTTGTACCCCACTGTATATTTTCACATACTTCTAGTTCATTTTTCCTCCGAAAATGGGTGCTGACTGATCTCACCCGACTTATCATGAAGGAAACATTTGTGTCTTTCTATATTCTGTCACGTAGTTTTGCAATAACTCAAAGTTCACCTCCTCCTTTCATCCTTCTTCCTCAACCCACAGGGAAACACACACTCTGTCTTACAGCACTCTCTTGATCTCTCTCCATCTCACTCACTGACACATACTGAGTGCAGGGTCAATATTTATGACCACAATGGAAGCACTCTTTCAAATCCAAGTGAGACAAACTTTCTTTGCTTTGCTGTTTGTACTGTATAGAGTTTATACAGCCTACCTTTGTCTGTAGTCGGTCTTCTTGAGTCCACAGTAGACTTCTTTAGACTTGTTCACTCCCAGCAGGGTTTTTATTTCTTCAGGTCTGCCTTAAAAATTTCAGGTGCCTGGATGTACATTGGTCACCTTTGTTTGGTACATTGGTTTCCTATTGTCCATATTGGCCACAAAGAGATTTTCAAGTAATTTCAATGTAAGTGATGGGGGACAACATCCACATTCAGCTGAAGCTAACAGAGACTTAGGCAGTCCAAATTAGACAATTATCTCCCAAAGTCATAATCTTTTTAGTACTGAATTCCATCTTTCTTCATGCTACTGTCTGCAGCTCTGCAAGACAATGCTCGCAGCTTCAGTTAAATTTTCTTTACTGAACGCAGCGTTTTGGTTTTGTCGCCCATTAAATCATTTTACAAAGGGATCTTCATAGGTAGTATAGAAACAATTACATCAACCAATTGAAGCAGCAAGCAGCAACGAGAAGGCCCGCACACCTTCCTGCATGCCGAGGTGTGTCGCAGTCGGTCGATGCAGCTCTGAATTTTCATGTTTTGGACACTGCACAAAGGAGGTCAGTGTCGCTTCCTGTGTCTACTGCGGGGCGCTAGACAACACCCACTAATTGTACATTATGTTCCAGTAAATCAGATGTAAACTCTAACCTGAAAATTTGATGTAATTCAAATTGAAAGATTGTCACACAAGGCTTACTTCCTGTTGCCAGTAGGTGGGGCAATAACTACAACTCTCAGATGTCCTGAGGCCGTGACTCTTATGAATCACTGGGGCAGATTGGACAATGTAAACTCGAGTTGAAACAACTTCCTGTTTCGGGATGAACAATGCGTTGCTACCACAACATTTAATAAAAACTCAAAAGCTACACTATTCATCAAGGAATGAATTTGAGATGTGATTAATCTGCTCTGAGTCGTTTGTAAGAATAAACAAAGTACAGAGCCTGTAAATCACAAAAAAAAAGAAGATTCAAAATGGCAGACTTCCTGTTGGGTTTAAGGTATGGCTCCAAGAGGCTTTTTTTGAAGTCTTGGGATGATACATCTGCCGCAAATATTTTGTACATCTCGGTGAAATGTCAGTCACTGCTCTGGCCCTAATAATGTACATATAGGCATGAGAAAAAACTCCAGAGTTGCTATGGTAATCATTTACCATAGCAACCAGAAATTGACCGGCTGTTTCTGAGTGTTCGCTAAGGATAGTATGCTGTGTTAACATCACTACACTGTAAAGTTTGCTATTAAGTATCAGGCTACGACAAAACAATTTATTTCTGATTTATTTCTGTTCGTGGAGGATATTACAAGAAACAGAATCACCACTACTAATGTCACACTGACAATGATGATGATTTCACCAGCTTTAGCTGTACATGTTTTGTCCCTATCCCGAGGCATAACATAAAGCTTACAGGCAGGTTGTCTGCTGGGCCTAAGGCAGGCACATTATGAAGTTCTTACATTTATGTGTTGTGTCCTGAAGAATGGGGTATTTAGAGATACACCTAAACACTACGTAAAATATATGATAAATTGGTTGGCTAGCTCACAACAACGTTTATGGCTTTGATGCTCTGATTTAACAAGGCGCAACAGTTTTGTTTTTAACAAGACATGACTGTGCAACTGCGCAAGCTTGGAGGATGACGTATGACTTGTGGAATTACTATAGTCACCCCTCACCACCCCGTTTTAGCAACTAAGCAACTTTGAGCACAAAATAAAGCTATTTGTCAAAATATATTTGGCGAACTATGTGGGTAATCAACATTGTAAGGAAATGACTCATAAAAACATGAAATAGAATATCACAGAAATGTCAAAATACACTGGAGGGGGGCTTTACAAAAATATTTGTGTATTGTGTGTATTTAAAACACTGTCTGAGACAATGAAGACCATCAATCTGAAATGGGTGGAGATGATTTTTCTGGCTAAGTAAAACTGTCCCCCCCCCGCTGACATTTAACTGCCCCCAGAGCAGCTCTGCTTCTATAGAGTTCCAACATGTTATTTTAACATCTCTCTCTTTCACACTGGCCCCTGCAGGTTACCAGGCCCCTCCAGAGTACCTGCTGCAGGCAGCGGGGCATCCAGGAGCCCGGGCTCATCCAACCTCAACCGGCGCAGCCAGAGCTTCAACAGCATCGACAAGAGCAAGCCTCTTCAGTATGCCAGTGGCAACGACAGAGGTAAGGATGGAATATTACTGTGTTTAGTAACACAACACACACTGTAACACTTTAGAAGCAAAGATGGAGTTGGTAGAAGTTGATAGTAGGAAGGGGCGACCATTTTACATTCTCCATCCCAACCACTTGGTGGCACCACTGACTCAGACAGACAATCCGAGGGCTGCAGAGAAGCCCAGTCCCTCACTGTGCCAGTCTTAACCAGTCTGCTGAATCACCCTCGGTTCTTTATTGCAAGTGACTTACAATGGATGCCATTAAGTGGACAAAGTTTCACTGCGTGGCAAGAGCCAGTTGAGAGAAGACCGAAGGGGCAAATTCAGGGAGCCGCTCTGCCAAACATGATGAAGCTAATGAGAGTGATTATGCTTTTGAGAGAAGGGTCTCACAGTAGCTGCAAGTTAGTGTTTTTCTGTTTTTTTAATACATTATTGATTATTCACAAAGGAATAGTTGTTTTAACCGCCTAGTTCTGTTGTGAAGAGTAAAAATACCAGAGGACAATGTTTTAATCAGGTAACACCTCTTCTATTGGCTCAGTCACTGTATTTAAAATAGCTAAAATATTCATTCAGAAAATTTATTATGACTTACTGCCTCAAACAGTTATAATAATTAAAACCTATCCCATGGCTCACCGTCATTTTAATAATTTAAACCATCCCTGAGGTGTTTATGACATTATAATGACAAACCATTGGCTTTGGCTAGCAATGTGTCATAAAATGTTTTCTAATGATATCTTGCTTTTAATCTTAAAGCATTGCTCAGTCACTGATGAAAAACAGGATTTAGTCTGCAGAGTTGTGAGGTGAGTGACAGCCAGCTCTAAAAAGAAAAAGAAAACTCCAGCAAACTCTCTTTCTCTCTTGCTGTCAATCCAAAAAGTTTGCGCAAGATATACACCCAGCCTTCTGATTTCTCTCTGAAACTTCAGACTCCTCAATGAGATGAAGAATGAAGGCATGTCGAAAGATGATGGAAGGGTGAGGGTGGACAGGGAGTGTGTGATCGAGTGTTTGTAGCGGAAAAGAGAGCCGAGAGGAAGCGGAAATTATTGAGAAACTGATATATGTCTTATACAAGTCTTGTTCTTTTTTCCTTCAGCAAACCCCATTATAAAGGATTCGATCAATCAGTGTATTTTTATTGTTTTGTGAAAATGGTTGGCCCCTTTTCCAATGATACGTCCTTTTTCCGGACCGTTCACACTTTGCAGTTGAGTCCTGCCAGTAGACAAACCTTCAGTTTGCAGAGATAAGTTACCAGGCGTTGGAGCTTCACTGCAGGGGAGATGAAACAGTGTTTTGGTCTAAAGTAAAAGGTGGGGAAAAAAAGAAAAATCAATTGTGGGGAAATGTCAGCGATGCAGACAAAACCTTCTGGGCAAAAGCAGGTAGCAGAGAGAGCAGAAGACAGAAACGGATACAGGAAGTGTCTGCCACAAGCCATTTTATACATTCTCCTGCATTTATTTTCTCTCACAGAGAGTTTAATTTGGCCGTCATGTTCCATATTCTCTTGTTAAATCTTACATCCTTTTATCTTTATTTTTTGCTTGTGGCTTTACAGGCCTTTTTTTTCTTATTTCATATACATATGTATTTGTTATATTCCAGGTTGTGTCCTGGAATAGATGGGAATGTAAACGAATACAAATACGAGGTTAGCGAGGTTTTTCCTCAGTACTTCACCATGAAGGGTCCTCAGTACCTTTTCGTCAGTCACCAGATTTGTTTGCAGTGCATCGTAGAGCTTAAAAGATGTCACAGAAGGTAGGATTCAGATATAAATCATGTTTTAATGCTGAATTGGGTGGTGATGGTGTAATGGATAAGACACATGCCTTTGATGTGAGAGACACAATCCCCCACTGTGACCCATCCACCAGTGTGTCCCTGAGCAAGACAGTTAACCCCTAGTTGCTCCAGAGGTGTGCGACCTCTGACATATATAGCAATTGTAAGTCGCTTTGGATAAAAGCATCAGCTAAATATAAATGTAATGTAATTTACTGACATACATATTTAGAACATTATGTTTTGTGTATTTTGGCAGCTAAACATATATACACATATGAGGAGTATCAATGGCTGTAAAAATTGACTTTCTGGATGAATCCGATCACAGATCAATTTATGAGATGAATAAATATAGATAGACGCTTTGTGTTCCACCCCTAACGGTGATTTGTGCCGTGTCTGATCTTTAACTTTTTTTAAAAATTATGCTTATGCTGCTGTGGATAAAGTGAACCTTTGTTTTCTTTCTATACTCACACAGTGAAACTCTGACCCAAGTGAAAGGGAGCTCAAAGGGCACAAAGAGCATTACATCATTCTTGTTGCCATGCAACTATCTAATTAGCTTCAGCCAACTAAACTGAAGCATCAAACGGCATGCTTGTTTTGTTTTGTTTTTTTGTTGTTGTGAAGTTGGACTGGAAAGTCGGTGATTGCTCTGCTTGTTGTTAGGATTGAGGACGAGGAGGCAATTGTGAAAGCTGAGCTGCCTTCTTCCTCTAGCATGGGGATAATTTATTATCTGTCTGGCAGAGACATAATAGGGGAGAGCATGCAAAGGTTATAAATTCAACTTGGAGTGTGACAGAATGCATCCAAAACATGAGCTGCAGAGTTTGGAAAAGAAGAAAAGGTCAGCACCGCAAGTTTTTACCTGACCAAGAGATGTTAAGTGTCCGCTTCAGGATTTCAGTTTCCGTGTATTGTCGGTCATGTGGTTGCAAACGTCACATATGTATTGTACATTTGTCAGCAGAAGGTCCACCGCCGCCCAGAAGAAGGGACATTTCATTCCTCGGCCGCTGAGGCAAAAATAAAGAAAAGAAGAGTCTGTTGCCATGGCGACAAGTCACTGCATGGTAAAAAAAAATATAAGTGTGGCGGCGCTGCGATACAGCCTCCGGGGTGGGGAAGGAGGAGCGGGGAGGAGGGAGATCTCTAAAGACGGGGTTAATTGACTGGACACAAGCGGACAAACACACACACAGAATCACACAAATGGTTGGAACCTCTTTCATTTACATTCATAAAGTGCCTTGAGGGCCACTGCGCTATCTCTAAAGATGAGGGGTAATACAAAGGGCACACACACACACACACATAAACACAAGAAGAGTTTCTCATTCATGTTTATGTCAATATCACGTGGCTGTCTAGACACACACACACACACACACACACAAAAAGATGCAAAATGAAGGTGTCGTTTCTTTTCACAAGCTGATGTGTTTGTTTATCTGGTGAGTATCTATTAGTTAAAACTAACCCAAGTGTAGCCGGGGTTACTGGGCTGAGATCAGAACCTTCTGCATTCCGAATATATCTTTCTAACCTGCTAGCTCATTACAGTAGAACAGGAGAGTGGCTGTCAGTTCATTGCCCTTTTCAAACATGCAGAAACAATGTTCATATAAAGGCAAGGGGAGGTTTCGCTCTGGCACAAATGCACTGTCCCCATGTACACTTTCGAAGCACACACTCTTAGAAATATGATGCACACACCTAATCAGTTTTCAGGAGGGGAAGATGAAAAGTGTCATTGGCCACACTTTCTATGGCATATAAATAATTAAATACAGCTTATGATATGTTTTACCTAAACGTTGCCTAAATTCATTTATGGATTTATATTTATTGATGCTTTGGATGCAAAATTGATGACCAATATGTTTTGGTAGCCAGCTGTCTTTGTTGGATTTTTCCTTTAAAGAGGTGGTATTATGCTTTTTGGCTTTTCACCTCTCCTTTATTGAGTTATATATCTTTTTGGGCATGTAATAGGTTTGCAGTGCTTGCAAGTGAAAAAGTCCGACCTAAAGGGAGTTCCCATCTCCCACAGAAAACACTGCTCTGAACTGCCTGAAAATAGCTCGTTTGTAGTCCTGCCTTTTCTTATGCTTTATTGTGACATCACAAGAAAACACGCGTCATAATGCCCACCAAGCGGCTAGTCCGACACGCCCTCGAAAACACCGGTGGAAAAACACTGTGAGCTGCAGCACACAGTGACAAGATGTCCACCTGCTGCTTCTCCTCTCCCTTCCAAACATTAGCCACCCTCCAGGCAGTCAATGGACATCAAGTTGTTACTCACCACTCTGAAACTCTTGCTCCAGTCCATGTTGCTAAGCTGGTAAGGGGAACAAAAGCCGTGTTTACCGGCTCCTCAGGACCCACCCTACTCTGCTTCTGATTGGCTAGTAGTCCCTAACTAGGAACTGTGCATGTGCAACTCCCAACAAAGATCTTGTAGAGGTGAGATGTCATCCCATAGCTAAACGAAGCGTTCAACACACAGGGTGAAAAGA